TTATCAAATACTTTTTCCAGACCTTGTGAGAAAGTTAATTACCAGGGTATTTTTCTTGGATGACCCATTAGCAAATTCATTTTACTGCCATTTTAACTAGGCCAAGGTTAAATATTTATTCAACTATCTCTCTTCAAGTTGAAGAGATCCAGTGGCTCAACTTTGAGAGCTGCCTTCTCAAACCTATTTCTATCTAGAGACTGATGCTCATTGACTAATCTGTTCCTGAACTGGCTTAAACTTGCAATTGTACAACTGAAGTCCAAACAACAGGTGTATGACCTCTGACAAGGAGATGACAAAATGAGATTACACATATAAGAAATTTATTAGGGGGAATGCCTGTAAAGGAAAGTTGGGAAGAAGACAGAGGTGTCTAGGAGCACCTTCTGACTAGGATGCAGGTCTAATCACAGTGAAGAAGAAAGGGAAGGAAAGAAGATTGAGTGGAAATCCTGGCCTCCAGGGAAGCTGTGAGAAAGTTCAGCAAGGCTGAGGGAGAGCCCTTAGCCAAAGTCATGTGTCAGTGGAGTCCAACAGCTCCCAGGGGCAGGTCTGACTAAGTATTGCTACTACAACGTGTCACTGGGAATTGTGCCTTCTGCATCAACGTAGTGATGGATTTCAGAGTACAGCAGCTGGGGTCATTGGTCAATGAAACCCCCACAGTAGGAGACTGGAAAGATGCATTTTTATGGCAATAAGAAATGGCTTCATAGCTAACTTATTTGATGGAAAGTTAAGGAAGAAATGGTTTAGACAAGTTTTGCCACATTAACTCAATTAAGCTACCTGAGGATAAGGATTGCTTTACTTATTGTATTCTATACAGTACCTATTAAAACCTCTTGCATTAAGAAGACACTCAAAATATACCTTTTAAAATTTGGTTAAATTCCATTCCTAAGACTATGGTTCCTATATAAATAATTGGAAATTAGAGGAAACATAGGCTAAGTGTCTAAGGAACTGCCCTATAGTTAGTTACACAGCCAGCAAATGGCAAGGATAACACTGGATTCTAGGATCACATGAGACGATGTGCAGGCACACGGCAAAATGGCAATAATTGGTGGTGCCATCAGCAGCAGCAGAACAGCAACAGCAGCAGTATCCTTATCATTTATAGAAAACTTTCAGCTGCTACTATTAGGTTCACATTACTTTCGTCTTTTCTGATTTCCATCTTACCCTCTGCTTGGGCCCATTTAGTTTCTACAACCTTAAAGAGAGAAAGGAACCTTGAGAGAGGCAGAATAGACACAAAGGGAGCCAGTAAGGCATATAGATTGTGATGTCAGACTTCCTGGGGTAAAATTTTTGCTCTAACATTTACCACTAGTTGTTTCACTCAGGACAAGTTGCTTCACCTCTCTGGATTTCAGTTCCCACATCTTTACTATATTTTTTTCTAATTTTTAAATTTCATTTAAATTTATTTAAATTCTATTTTATTTAAATTTAATTTTTAAATTTAGTTTACATATATTGTAATAATGATTTCAGGAATACAGTTTAGTGATTCATCACTTACATATAAGGGATGATGGTGGTACCTACCCCACAGGATTTTTTTTTTAATTATTAAGTAGCTAATATATGTAAAATTGCTTAGAACAGAGCCAAACACCTATTAAGAGAGGTGAATGTTAATACAGTTTGTCTATTAGTGTACCTCTAATCAAAATAGGCCCGTGGGAGAAGTCAGAAATAGACTTCCACTACAGGAAGGGACATGAATAATGTCTGAAACTAACTCCTTCATAGTGCACACTTGGAAAGAGGAACTGGAAGTAAAGGAGATATTGGTACAAACTGATAACAGAGTGAGAAAAACACTACAAGCTAGGCTGAAGAGGAAGGTACGGGCATGGTGTTGGCACCTGATTCTCACCACTGTGGCTAGCAGGGTCATTTAGACGTGCTCATTATCTATTTCTTTTCTGATTACGGTGCTTGTTAAACACATAAGTATTTTTAATTGCCATTACAGTAAAACCATGTTTCTGCCACCTTTTGTTAAGTTCTGGAAGGTCTAGACAGCGGACTAGAAAGCAGTAAGTTACTTGTCTTTATACCATTATCATGTAAAAGTTAGAACACTAAAATATGTTGCAAAACCATTGATATAAGTTCCTAAAATAATTGAGAACCTGAAGTCAGTGTAGGAAAAGTAGCACTTACCAATGTGAAACAAAGGAGAATTAACATGGAACAAAAATGTAGGAGCATACTTGGATAGCCCAAAGGGTCTATTCGTTTATAAATGCTGATTATTAAAGAATAGAATGCATTTAGATTAAGAAACAATTTAGGATTCATTCTGCAAACTTGCCCCTGCATTTGTACTTGAGTGCACTTGAATGGCTATGTCTAAGTAGAACAAACAAGGCCTGTTGCAAAGGTTCAACAGAGCACCACATGTGTACACATTCACATGAAAACAGCTTTACAGTAGCACAATTAGAAGACATTAAAATGAATATGAAGGGGTACCCAGTTGGCTCAGTCAGTTAAGTGTTCAACTCCTGCTCGGGTCAAGATCTCACAGTTTGTGGGTCTGGCTGTGTACTGACAGCATGAAGCCTGCTTGGGATTCTCTCTCTATCCCTCCCCCACTCATGTTTCCTCTCTCACAAAATAAATAAATTAATAAATTTAAAAAAATAAACAAAATGCAAATGAAAAGAACTCCCAGGATTTACTTCTTAAGGTAGAACATAGTTGGTCTGAGCTACTGTCTTCCTTCTCTACCTGTCTCTCATCACAAGTTCAGATAGATTTGTGATTTTTAAGATACTTTGCAGGTTTTATCTATCTTGAAATTCTTCTTGGAGTAACTAATAAACTTTAATTGGCCTTTAATGACTCTTTAGTTTTAGCTGTTCCCTGTAAGGCCGTTTTTTTCCTACAAATTTTCTGTACTATTTTCCATAAAGTAAATATTGTTTAGCCTTTAGGATGCAGAACAAGTTTTTATCTCTTAAAATCTAATGTACAATTTGTACATTAAGATGCTGACAATGGGACTCCCCCCCCCCCCCCCCCCCCACCACCATCAGCTTCTGAAAAACCATTTCTAAAAATAACTCAAAGTTTGGAAAAAATAAAAACACTTTTCATAGCCGTCATTAAAACTCATAAATGTATAAAAATTTCAAATATTCACTCAAGTATGGTTGTGTCAAGTATGGTTGTGTTGTTTCAGTTTCTGAATATAAAGAATGCTTTGTAGGAGAAGGTGAATATTCTGTTCTAAAAAAAAAAAAGCAAGAGAAAATACTCTCATATTATTTATACCATAAGAAGCCAATGTTCATAGATCACCATACTTGTTTAGTATGATAATAAATGATTATATAAAGTCTCATACTTTTTAGTTATAACATGTAGCTTCCCCTTCCCCATCCCCTGTAGTTATCTGATAATAGTGTGCAGCAAAAAATACTTTCCAAAGCCCATGTGGTTTACTGCTCCAATGTAATCCACATTTAAGTTCTTATTTAATTAGTTTAATTATTAGTACTACTAATCCAGAGAGATAAAAAAAGGAAAGGAATGAGAGTGCCGATTCAACTCACTAGCTGTATCAGTGTGAAAAAATTGCTCAAAATTTCTGACCTCTTGTCTGCTTTGAATGGTTTTCATAAATATTATTTGTACATGGGAAAGCTGTTTGTATAACATATAATGCTCCATCCAGATAAATTGTCATTGTTATTTATCTTTAAATATCATTATATGATCTGTGATGTCATTAACAGAAACAAAATAAAATGGAAATAAGGTTGCATCTTATTTTTTAATTTATATTGTTAAAATAATTAAATAAGGAGACTATTAGACTGAGGTGGCTCTAATGCCTCAGTAACCTACATTAAGTAAATCAAAGCCTAAGCCAGAGTCAGTGCATCCGAATCGAAGAAAATGAAAATTGAGAACAACCAATCACAAACAGCCAGCGAGGCTTCCTGAAATAAGGCCACTGCTTGGGCTCTCATCAATCAAATAATTTCCTTGATTTGCTTCCACATCTTCTCTGTTACAACCTTTCCTGTAGCTCCCACAGTGGAATGTTCCTAACCACTTTTAGCTAAACACTGCTCAATTTCAATTGATGTATGCCCAAATGAACTCTTGACAATTCAATGTGCCTCAGTTTATCTTTTAAGAATTTATTTCAGCTTCAATTCCAGAAATCAACTACACTAGGATAGAATCATCCCCTGGGTTTCAGAATAGTAATGGGAACAACTACTTCCATGGTTAAAATGGGACCAAGAAATCATCTTCAAATCATCAAAAAGATTTTCACTGAACTGTAATAGTAGGTTTGTGACAGTGCTGACTAAAGGGCATTTTACTGATCTGTACTGAAATAAGTATGATTGTACATAAAGAAGTATGTTGTTGTCCATGGCACTATATATATATATATATATACATATATATACATATATATATATATATACACATATATATATATACATATATGTGTGTATATATATATATATATATATATATATATATATATATATATAACTACACATTGCTGCTAAGTTAATTTTGGTTTTCCTGTGTATCTACTGAACGCATAAATACTCTGCAGGTGCCATATGGCTAGTGTATTATCAGAGGCGAAACAAGACAGGTCAAAAATGTACATCAAAGGCACCAATTTGACCCAAATGGTTATTTTGTTTGACACATATCATATCATAGTTGGTAGCTGCAGTGTTTATTTGAATTTAAATGCTGATTAAGTCCTTTGCCAGTCCTGTTTTTGCAAACACACACAAAGCTACATCTACCAACCTTCATTAAATCAAAAGAAACATGCATAGCATGTCAGGCAGTCATTGTTGTTATTACCAATAAACAAAAATGTGTATGTTTCCCCAATCTCAGTGGTTGAAATGTGCTCTGTGTTTATGGAGTATGCTAAAGGGGAAAAAATTCTGCTCAGTTAAGAGTTTGTCGACTCTGGCCCAGGGGTGTACCTGGGTCTCAACATCTGTCAGCTTTCTGGTCTGTTCTGCGGTCTGAGAGAGAAGGCTGGTTCCTATCTCGAGCATGGTGGCCGTGTGGTTCTGGACTGCATTCTGCTGTATCTGGGCCATCTCCGACTTCATATTTTCCACAATGTAATTCTCAATCTGCAAGAGATAAAGGACAAAACATACTACATTATAAGCAAAGCTTCTCAGTTGGAGCATGTAATATTTACAATGACAAAACAAGACACAGCTGGCAAATCAGCCATCTGGCAGGGATCCTCTGCATTTCTGGGAGTTGGGAAATGGGAGCAGAGCACACAGGGACCCAGTTGCTAACAAACTCCTTATATACTGATACATATATATAATCCTCACAATCATAATGAAAATTTGCACTTGGATAGTGCTTTCTTATTTTCTACAACTCCTTCAATCCTTACTGCAAAGATGTGAGGTACAGATGGCCTCATTGTCTTGTGTGATTTGTTTTGGTTTGCTTTTATTTATGGCTGAGGAAACAGAATCAGACAAGGTCAATGATGAGCCCAAGGTCACCCAGCAAGAATGCAGCAGCCTTAGCACGATCATTTAAATCTAAATCTTGGTTCTCTGGTCTTTCAATAGACGACATTGACCACCGGTCTCAGAAAAACTCAGCCTCCTGCTTTCATTCATGTAATGAAAAGTAAAAGACCATGCTGGGTTAGGGGAATTACACAAGCAGTGGGAGGAGGGTGGGTGCCCCAAACACAAGCTTTTAAGAGAATAGTCAAGTATAGGCAACAGTATACAAAATGAGCTGCAGAGCCACGGAATGAGCTAAAACCATTCTCAGTGCTCCTTTGAAAGCTAAAAAAAAATAAAAAAAGCAGAAAAGCACTGAAAGTATAAGCTATAAAGCAGCATTTGCCCTCCTTGCCTTGGGTAACATTTAGTCCTCTATGGTGCCATCTTAGGGAATACAATGGTTGTAAAGTAAATTATACCACAGGGGTCAGGGGGAATTCCTAAGTGACACTCTGAGGGAGGTTGTTAGACACCTGAGAGAATAAAGCTAAGTATAACCACGCTTGAAAAACACAGAAGAGGCCTGCACCTCCCTGTCAGTGCACTTAATTCTCCCCCACCACTGTGTGGTGACTACATTTTATTACCCAATTACACATATGGGGAAACTGCATCCCAGAGAAGTCAGGTCCAAGGCCACACACCACAAAAACAGCCAGACTTGGATTTGAACGCTGAAGTCCTTAACTTTCATACCAACACTCTTAACCACTTGATAGCTCTGCCAAGTTGTTCTTCATAAGCCGGGTTCCAAATCATTAACAGCTACGTGATTTTTACTGATTTAGTGAACCATAATGCATCCACTATTTTATAATCCATAGTAATATTATTGTCATGTAATAAATAAAGTCTAAACCTAAATTCCCCTTTGTGCAACTCTGGCAGTTCACTTTCTAACACCGTCTCTTGCTTATTTCTATTTATCAAACATAAATCTGCCCCAAGATAAAGAAAATGAAAGGTTAGAATCAAAACTCTTATTGTTATTAATAAATTCTGACTATGTTCTTGGTCAATATAAAGTAACTCCCCTTCATCCTTTATTCCCAAAATTAGAAGTAGAGGAAAAAAAAATTCAACTTACAAACATTTATTATAAAACAAATATAACATTGATAGGTTAGAATAGCTATCCAGAAACTATCTTGACAAAATGTAAGGTCTAAACGAAGCCACATCTAACCTTGGCTTTATTCCAATTGAACTAACATATTTGAACAACAATGGAAAGGTAGTGGAAAGGTAGGTCGGAGTATCAGGCATCTGTTGTCTTGGATTCTGCATCATGTTTTCCTTTTCTTCATAACATCCTTTAACTCTCTTTTTGGAAATTATGAATGAATATACTCTCAAAAATGGCAGGTAAATCTTCATCATGGAGGTGATTACCTGCCATTTACAGCTGACATTTATCGATTGTCTACTATGTGGTAGGTATTGAGCTAAGTACTTTCTTTTTATAACAGCACTTAAACCTTACAAGTTTATATGGTATGTATTGTTATAGCTGCTTTATAGGCTAGACTATTGAGGCCTACAAAATCCACAGCAATTTTCCCAAGAAAAACAATAACTCAACTCCCAACGCCAAAACCCATGTTCTCAATCTCTAACCTATTCAGCTAAGTACTATTTAATTACTCTGCATATTATTGTGTAGTTCCTCGACCTTGTATGTTTATCAAAGCTACATGGGAAGCATTTTTTAAATGCAGATGAAGGTACAAGACAACAGAACACTGAGTCAGAATTTTCATGGGTATATACTAGACAACTATGTATTTTATACGCTTCCCAATGTAATTCTAATTCAGGCAAAGACCAGTGCTTCTCAAAGTGTGGTCCACAGAAGAATTACCTATATGAGATCTGTTTGTGAACAGTGTGACGTGAAATGAGGAAACTGTGTCAGAAAGCAAATTACCTACATTGCTAAGCACACTATTACTACGTGTATGTGTGTATGTGCATATAAATATAGGAGCAAGACTTTCTCAATGAAGAAAGTGATGCTGTAATGCTTTAATTTACATTCTGGAATTCTGGAGCAAGGTTCTTAACTTGTTTGCAAAACGACAACTTCCTTGAGTAGCAGTGATTTAGACTACTGAATTTATTCAATGTCAAATTCCCTGCTTATCAAGAAAGCTCAAATAATAACTTGGTTTCCTATGTAGATTTCTCTACTGAGAGAGAACTCACTCAGCAGTGAGCTTCAATATAGATCTCTGTGATAATTATACATCAGTTTTTTGGTTGTTTATTTTAAGTAGCCTCTATGCCCAACGTGGGGCTTGAACTCACAACCCCAAGATCAAGAGGTGCGTCCTCTACCAACTGAGCTAGCAGGCATCCCTATACACCAACTTCTTATGCAGTTGGTTAGTGGGAGTTATTTCCCAGAGCTCAACTTGCTCTGGGTGTAATACAGTTATGTGTTTCAGTCTCCAATAAAGGAAGACACCCTCTGGCATATAGTGACTACATCAAGGATCAGCTGCTTTGTGACTCTATCTATGTTAGCTCCTATCTCTCTATTCTGTACTACTATGCTTTTTTTTTTTTAACTGTAAAAGGTAACACCAGCAAAGCAAAATAACTGCTTTATGTAAGCGTTCATCACAGTCTCCAAATTCTGCTGACCCTACTGTAAAAATATGTAAAAAACCTATACTAAAATTCTTATTTGGGCTGCTGTGATGAGTAACATGAATATAACTCTAGTTAATTATTTTTTAATTAAGTGGGGCTGCTTTCTGTAGGAGTAACTGCCTTTTAATACAAACGATAATGGCACATTTAAGTAGCAAAAACCAGATGTAGTTGATTTAAAGGCTGAGGAGGGAGGCAGAAGTCAAATATACAATGTGTGATTAATAAGGAGGGCTACTTTCATCTTATCTCTCAACATTCCTCTGTAGATGTATAACTGTGAAATCCATCTTGATGTGTCATATCAGCCAGGTTCAGAAAAAATTTGTAACAAATTTGATTGTCCTCATATTTTCCCTACTGGTTTTAAAAACATGTTCACAGCCTATGATGGCTACTTCAAGTTTTAATATTTTAGAAACATCTAAGATGTCAGTTTTAAGCTTACAAGTTGCTGACCGCAAGACCTGATAGATTATAAAGTAGGAGACTCCCAATTTGAATCATAAAATGATTTGACTATACTGCCATTCTCAGTGTCTGACTCTAGGTAAAGTACTGGCTAAAAAGCCAGCATGAGAAGGTACGATGGCATTAGAAATGAGATAATGAACAATAAATAATGTGTAAGCAAATAAATAATGTTACGTTTGGTGATTTAGTGTTTACAAAAAGCTTTCATAGACATTGTCTGACTTGATTCTTATGCCAACCCTACATGCAGGGTATTGACTCTATTTTATGGTTTAAGAAATAGGGCTCAGAGGCCTTAGGTGACTTAATGGAGATAAAAGGAACAACTCAACTCTACCTTCTGATGTTCCACTAGCCTCAGAGTTGCGGGAACTGCTCTGTTGTTGGACTGGCTGGTTGACTGATTGGTGAATGAACGATTGATCGCATTTTTAGCCAGCTCACTGAGAATTAATTTACTCATTCCTTTGAGGAAAACATGCATCATGAGAGGGTGATTACTTCACTCCGCTTCACCATATTGGAGGCCAAGTTTATTTGAAGGGAGTTGAGAGGCTCTAGGGCCAGTTATGTGGGAAGTTCACTTTGCTAGCATTTTTAATACAATTGGTCATTAAAAATCCTTTCCTCAGCTCCTACCTTTTCTTCTTAGTATGTAGTTTATAACATATTTGTTTCCTTCCACCCATTATGTTTCTTGCAAGCTATTCTAAAATATAACAAAGAGAATAACAACAACAACAACAACATGTTAAGCCCCTACTAAGGTTGGGTATGTACCAGGTTTTTATAAACATGTGGCTCACTGACTCCTTATAACAGTCCAGGCACTGTATTATGTGTCCTTATTTCACTGACAAGGAAACAAGCTCTGGGAAGTTAAGTCTATGATCACACAATGAGTCAGTGAAAGAACTGGTATGTTGCTTTGAAAGAGGCTAGATGACCCCGCAGGTTGTGCCTGATTCTAAAGAATAGTCAGTTATCAAGCACAAGCAAACTACCATCAATGTCATAGGCAAATTCCAGTAACACATAATATTCATTCAGGGAATACATAAAACAGAACAGATGGGGAGAAACTTGTTCAAGGACAGATAATTTTTCATTTTTTTAATTTAATAATTTTCACACAGATTGGTGACTGTAACATTCTGGGAAATGTTATAGGGGGTAAGAAAGCAAATATACAGTCAGCTGTGCGACAAGTTGCATTAATAAACAGAGAAAAATATTTTTAAGAAGTCAAGATTATCAGTCATTTGTAGTTCAGTCATAAATTACTTGCCCATGTCTTTTGCCCAATGACTAGCAGAGAATTAATGCTATTATTTTCCATGATGAGACAGAGTTTTGAGAGAGCTTTCTTACCGGGTCTTCAAAATTCTTGCTGCTTTGTGTTCATGAGAACTAAAATCTGTGTGATATTATGACATGCTTGCATATGAAATTCATTCTCTATC